AATAATTTAATTCAAAAAGCTAGTGCTACAAATATTGAACGTATCTTTAACTCTAATTCAATTCTTAAAAATATCAGTCTTATCTGTATCAAATCATGGCTAACCAAAATTTGGTTTCCCATCCTAATATCAAACCTACTAATTACTCACAATTGTAAAGTCAAAAACTTCACAATTATATTTCAACTCTCTCAATTAGCTAAAAATAACATTACTCTATCTAATCTATCTTTAGACCTCTGTCACCCAAACTTCCTTTGTAACACCCCTCTAATCTATGATATACTTCCTCCTGACCCACATATCTCTATAATTAATTGTTTGAGAAATCACCATTCACTTTTTATTGAACAAATTACAACATCAAATAACAAATTTATCTTACCTGGAACAATATTTATCTACGTACTAACAAAGCTACTCGGGGTCGTCAACCTCTCTGGTTTAATAATATTATTCAAATGGTTCAAAATAATACCATCTCAACTATCTGGTCTCAATTAAATCTACCTGAAATCAATTCCTTTTTCAACTCAACTGACCTCCTTTCTCATCTATCACAATCAAACTCTTCTCCCTTCACACAATTACATATTTCCAGTAATAATAAATTTCTCCTTTCAACATCTTTATTTAAAACTGAAATATATGTTTTAACCCCAACAAATACTGGTTTTACACAATTATCACCATCAACTTTATCATCCTTTCATATTTTTTCTTCCTTTAACTTTCCTTATAAACTAACTAACAAGTTAAATAATCCTCTTCATATCCAAATAGATTACAAGGAAATTCTTGCATTAAATGACATATTTGATTTTATAAACACTACAAATTCTTCCCAATTAATACCACAAATTAATATCCTCACACAGGATATACAATTAATATATGACATAACTAATTTAACCATATATCAAAATCAACTTTCTCAACTTTATTCTCTTATTCAAAACCTTGATTCACAAGAGCTCCATTTCCATACTGATGCCTCAATTCAAAATCTACAATCACCAAATATTAAATCTGGTATTGGCTAGATTTGCGAAAACAATTTGTCTATTAAATTTAATGCAGCTACTATTCCCTATCCAGACACAACACGTGCTAAACTAGAAGCAATTATCTCTCTTCTTCTTGCAACTTCCAATAATACTCATATACATATTCACCTAGACAATAAGATAGCAATTAAAAACTTAAAACAAAAGTACTTTACCAAACCCTTATAAAACCAAAACTAGGGCATTTTACTTACTATTAACCAAATTAAATCTATTAAAAATCTCACTTTTACCCTTCATAAAGTCAAATCACACTCAAACTCACTACATAATCAAGCAGATCTACTTGCCAAATGTGAAACAAACAAACCTATATTTAGAATTTCCTACAATCACATATATTTACCAATTCACTTTCAATAAGAAAACTATCTAATTCCTTTTAAAATCTGAACCTTTATTAAAAATATCTATACAATACAAGAATTATATTCTTGGTCT